TTTTGTAGGGACCAGCAGTTAGTGTAATGGCTATGTTGCTGAACTCGCATGTAGCCAACTGCGGTTCGAGTCCTGGACCCGGTGGCTTAAACTCACACTGGACGCGTGTGTGTGTGTGCCCAAGATCACGAGAGGAGAATAGAGGAGAAGGGATTGTAGTGTGGCCATCCTCCCTGAGGGGTGTGATTTCTCACTTTCTATCTCTGTCTCTCTTTGATTTTTCTGGCGAGCGCATGTGCCCTATAGCAAAAACCTCTCCAAAAACAAACTTTTTTTTTGAAAAACAAAAACAAAAACAACTCTATAAGCTGTATCATCTAATCATTCTGCAAAGTGATGAGCAAAAAGAAGGTGCATGGACACTTGCTGTGAGCTCATGAAACACATTTTAAAGCAGAAGTATTGACTAACTAAAACACAGACTAATGAGATTGGATAAGTTTTACAAAATGTTTTAAAATTACCAGGAATACTATATAAAGTATGAATTTATATCCACCGTCATTATCATCGAACCTTGCCCTCAGTGTATATACTGTACTTTGAGAAATTAATAATTGTATGACGGTATTGTGAACAACAAAACTCCTTAAAATAATTTATTTCATCTCTAGCTCTTTTTATTTTTGAGTCTTTTTTGCTGTAGGGCATGTGCGCTTACTGGGGAGAGAGAGAGAGACAGAGACATAGAGAGACAGAGATAGACAGAAAGCAAGAAATCACTCACCACCCCCAGGGCGGATGGCCATGCTGCAGTCCCTTCTCCATTCTCTTCTCGGGATTTTGGGCATACATGTACACGTGCCCAGCATGAATTTTAAGCTGCTGGGTCCGAGACTCAAAACTGCGGTTGACTATGTAGTGATGTAATTGTTATGCCATTTGCTTGTCTGTGTAGCTCATTTTTTAAAACTTTTTTTATAGTATGCTCAGTAATTTAGATATACTTACATCTAATTTATAATGCATATACATACAAGGGGGATTCAAAAAGTTTGTGGAAAATTGAATTAAAATGTGAATTTATTTGGGTGCAAAGAAGGGAGGAAACTAAGCAGTTTTTTTCATAATGTGTTTTCCATAAACTTTTTTTCCCATGAAGATTTTTGTCACAGGACATGTGCACTTGCCGGAGAGACAGAAAGAGGGAATGTTAGAAATCACTTCCCAGGAGGGAGGGCCACAAACAACCCTTTCTCCTCCATTGTTCTCTCGGGATTTCAGGCATGCATGCATGTACGCCTGGTGTGGTTTTTCAGGCTGCTGGGCCTGGGACTCAAACCACCGTCAACCATGTGGGAGTTCAGCACTTCAACCACCATGCCACCTGCAGGCTTCCCTGTGAACTTTTTGAAGATCCCCCCATGTATTCAGGGATGGTAGATACTGAGTTTGTGATTTATTTAACTTGATAAAGAGCCTGATGAAAATAGTTTGAAGACTTCTTTGTAGGACAGTAGAAAGAAGGGACTGTAGGAACCAGCAGGTGGTGCAGTGATTGGGGTGTTCGACTCCCACATGGTCAACCACAGTACAAGTCCTGGACCTGGCAGCTTGCTTTTCCACTCTCTCTCTCTCTCTGAGGAGAGTGGGTGCCCTGTAGTAAATTAAACACACACACACACACACACACACACACACACACGACAAAATTAAATAATTTTTTAAAAAGGGTACTGTGTAACGCAGGGCAAAAATAGGAAAGAAGCATTTTGTTTATATATATATATAAACATTTTGGGAGGGCCTGTTTATTTTTTTAAATAATTATTTATTTACTTTTATTAGTATTATTTTTAAATTTGCTGTAGAGCAGGTACATTCAACAGTGAGAGACAGAGAAAGACAAAGCAAGCCTCCAGGCCTAGGACTCAAACCGTGGTCTGCCATGTGGGAGTCCAGCACCTTAACCACCATACTACCTGTTGGCCCCAACACAAATAGCTTTTAATTTTGCTCTGTTGTAGCAAATTGCAGTCACTATTCCCTATAAAATCTGTGAGTTCCTTTCTTTAGATCTTTTTTAAATTGCCATTTGATTTTTTTCCATCTTCATTTGATTTATGGTATTGTTTGTAAGTTAAAAATGTTTTCCTAATTATTAAGCTAAAAATACAGTTTATATTATAGTCATTGTTCTAACTACCAACTATAGTTTACTTAAGTATCATTGTAACTTAAGCTGTCTGCATAAATTTGACACACACGTTACAGTGCTACATTGTTACATAGAAAAATCACTTGAACTGAATTCCCTCACACAAGCTAGATTAGCAGTAGGCCTCTGTGCATTGCTAGAAACGACATGCGCACCAGACGCGGGCACTGCCACACATCTTAATAAGAGCAGACTCTTCTGTTTTTCTTTGCAAATATGTGTCACGACTTTTCCTATGACCCAATGTAAAGTTGTGTTAATGGAGAAACATTTTATACTGCTTCAGTTATTAAGTAAAAGTTTGTATTAATATTAAAATTAAAATTCAGTTCCTCAGTTGCACTAGCCACATTTGAACAGCTCTGGATTCTAGAGCAACTTCCTCACTTTAGTGATGAAAGTTTAGAGATAAAACTGCTAGAGCCCATTGAGCAGGTTAGTTAAGAATAGAACAGGGCCTGGGACCAGCAGCTGGCGTCATGGCTGTGTCGCTGGACTCCCGGGTAGTTGACTGCATTTCTAGTCCTGGATCTGGTGGCTTAAATTCACGCAGGGTACATGTGCGTGCGTGCCCAAGATCCCAGGAGGAGAATGGAGGAGAAGGGATTGTGGTGTGGCCATCACCCCTGGGGGGGTGATTTCTCCCTTTTTGTCTCTCTCTGTCTTTCTGGCAAGCACACATGCCCTATACCAAAACCTCTTAAAAAAAAAAAAAAAAAACATGAAAAAGCCTGTATTTCTGTATGTGAAAATGTTACTTTAACAAACGTAAAGTAATTTTATATCGTAGGCTGAATTTGTCATATTTGAAAAAGCCAATAAGAAATGAATCTGTAATTTAATTTAAAATATTTTGTTTATTAAACAAAGCAACCATTGTTTTGTTGCAGTGAGGGGCTTACTTTTCAGTTAGATATTATAGCAACTTATGGAGACACGAAAGGCGATCTGAACTTGCTCTTAGACTTCAGTTCCCATGTGATCCCTGGCACTTGGCTTTGTTTCTGCTTTGAACACTGAATATTGTTTATTCAACGACATATATAAATTTATGCAAACATTAAATGAAAATGTAAGCAAGAATTAAAGTAGGACAACAGTATAAACTACCAAGTGCCTTAAACCCAGATTAATGTACAAGATGGATCTTACCCTTAAGTTTATACCAAGAGGGAGCAAAGAATTAAGCCTTTCTACTAATTTTATTTCTTTATGTATTTGTCATAAAACCAGGAAGAATTTAGTCTCCTGCTAGTGGTACTTTGAATAGAAGAATGATCCAGGGTGTAAAAGGTCGCTTTTGCTGTTTGGGGAAACGTTAGGAATTAACGCTGGGACCTGGAGAATACCTTAGAAGAAACCTTGATTGGTAGTCTGAGTGGTCAATTAATGAGAGTGTATATTAAATAATTACATATATAACATTGTCATTGATGTTTTTAAAAGCATTCACTTGGGACCAGCAGATGACATAATGGTTTCGTATATGGACTCCCACGTAGTTGACTACGGTTTGAGTCCTGGACCTGGTGGCTTAAAACTCATGCTGGGTGTGTGTGCGCAGGCCTGCCCAAAATTCCGAGAGGGGAATGGAGGAGAAGGGATTGGCCATCCCTTCCCCCCAGGGGGTGTGATTTCTCACTTTCGGTCTCTCTGACGAGTGCATGCTCTGTAACAAAAATCTCTCAAAAATTTTTTTTTCCCTTAAAATGTTCACCCTTCTGAATAAAATACATATGGCTTACTTTTGAGTATTTTTTTTTTTTTTTTTAGTTTTCCTCATCCTTTTCTCATTTTTTATAGACTGGCTTCTGATATGAGTGTCTTTTTGTTTTTTTTTTAATCTGCTAGAGATGACCTAATTTTTACTAATTGTACTTTGAGAGTTTTGTTTGCTCAGAATGGTAGTAGTATTTTCATTATTCTTTGGTAGTTGAAACAAGTGGTTTTATGCAAAGCTGTATATTCAAAAGAATACCTTAGTGCTAGCTTGTAAATTGTTGGTTTTTTTTTTCAAATTGGCCTTATCCTAGGAAAAATTAATGCTACTTTACAAGCTGAAGTTTATTATGTGTGATTCCTTATATAATTTGCTTGCTGACTTGTTGACATACACATAGATACACACACAATATGAATTAAAAAACACCTTAAACAGTTTTTACAAAGTACTTACCAATTTCTTGAAAGATGTAGTAGGTCGTCAGGAAAGTCACGATGTGTTTTTAATGTTTTTCTATGCAAGAACGCGTCATGACTTTCCCAACAACTCAGTAACACTGTTTGATACTTTGTTTTCTGCAACCTTAGAGTGAAAGACTCATTCTTCCCAACTCATTTGAATTTATTTAATCAAATTATGTTTTAGATGTACAGCTTTAACTTTCATCTTTCTATTCAGATATCCCTGCAAGTTAGTTACCTTTTCCCTTAAGTCTCTCCTCCTCCAAATTCCCCTTTAATTTGGGCTGGGAAGTGCCTTCTTAAAGCTTTAGGCTTAATGTTACATAAAAAGAATTGGGGCTTTTACTTTCATTTTTCCATGTATTATGTGCCACTAAAAAGAAGGTAACACATGTGATGGCTTACTCCATTTTCAAAGGCGGAATTGAAGCGCTTTTGAGTAAAAATATGAAAAGAAGCTAGTGTTCATTGCCTACATGGCTTTCTAAAAGGCTCTTAAAAAACATTCCATTATGATTCCAGTTCTTTAAACTTGCCACCGACGGTAACTGCCTGCAGAGCCATGTGATTATCTTGGCAGCCGCCAGGCCTTTGAGTGATTTCATTGCTGTGGTTTCCTCAAGCTCTTTGCACACATTGATTAATATTTTCCTTGCAGTTATCGCTGTGATGATTTTGTGGTTAATGACACCAAGCTGGGGCTGGTACAGAAAGTCAGAGAACACTTGCAGAACTTGGAAAAGTAAGTAGTAGGCCTCGGGAACGAGAAGGGGATAGCCTGGGGTTGAGGGGTCTTTCAAAATCTGAGTGGGATTTTTGTCTATGGCACCCATAACTTCTTCATTTAGATGTGACTGAAATGTTGACAAAGTAAACCTTGCTTTTGGGCAGCCAAAACCTTGCCCATGGTTAATGGTCATAGCTCTGCGTTTATTGTGTTTAGTATTTGCCGTAAACCACACCGAAGGGCCAAGGAGCCTGCTTTTTAGTTGTTACCCACCAATTTATGAGCTACTCAACTTATTTGCAGGGTGATTTTTGGGGTGCAGTGATAGAGCAGAGAACTAGAGTTACATTTGGTATGGAAAATCCTGGCTACATAGGAGGTCTGCATGGAAGCACTAAGGTTATGCATTGCTTTAAGGGAAACTAGGTTTAATTATCACACTGCCCAGTTTCCATCTGTGTGATGGCACAAGGCCCTTGTTTCTCCTTTTCCTCTTTTGTTAGGGGCAGTTTATAGCACATAAAATTGCAGGGATCGACAAATGCTTTGTCATCGTAAGGAAAGGACTTATGTGAATATACTTTTCTTGCTCTAGACAGATAGCTAATTCAGATAAAACTCACTGGACCCAAAATTGAGGCAGTAAACAGAAACCCAACTAGCAATGCCTTTGAAGCTACAGTGTGCAGAAGCATGGCCCTGGGATGGCTGCTGACTCCACGAAATCTGTGCGGGTTACCTCAGATCATTAAGTACCATCTCATTTATTTTGGCTGTATGTACAGAAGATTTTAGGAAAATATGCCACAAGCACAGGTCCCTTGGCAAACCTAAATGTAAAGCCAACAGAATACTTTGAACTTGAACAGGGAGAAGTAATAACCCAGCTTCTCTGAGTGCAACACTGGATAGTGTTTGCTAACCAGAATCTGTAAATAGGTATCATTGACTTCACGTTGGGAAAAAGAATGATTTCTTTAAAATAAAAAAATAATGAGAACACTTTGGGTTTAAGTACTTTTTGGCTCTTTTCTTTTTAAATCATTCTTTCCCTTTCAGTTCGCACTGAGCAGCATGGCCCCCGTCTAGCATTAGAGACACAGATCCAAAAGGTTTCATCCTACCAGAAATTGTCATGACAAACTGTAGATTCCCCGCAGTAACAGGTAGTGTCACTCCCTGGTAGATGATGCCATTGTTAAGATCTTGCTACCTTCATTCTTCGTTATAGAAGTAGGTAGCTCTCACTTTCTGCCACTGGAATTTTCTCTAGGGGAGGGTATCATCTCACTCAGACATAAAGGATCAGAACTGACTCGAAGGGGGCAGAGGGCATTGGCAAACCCACATACGTTTATACAGTTTGGAAATTTTGTGTTTCCACTGACTGCTTCAGCAGGTAAAAGGTGCCTGATCACCTGTCTACTCTTCTACATGGCCCACTGAAAAATCTACGTTGCAATCCTTTTCCTATGTAGAAAACTATAGCCTAAGTTCACTTTTCACATTTGGAAAACATGGTCTTAATCTGTGGCAAAATGTAAAAGCAGTGATACGTTTTTGTTTTACTTCAGGCTGTTCTGCACATGCTCAAGTAGCACCATGCAGTAGCAATTTCTGCAGTGACAGAAGGGTTCTGTCACCTGTACACTTTTGTGTGGTGGCCACTAGACCCATGTGACCTTCGAGCACTTGGACAGTGGCTAGTGTGACTGAGGAACTGAATTTTAACTTCATTTAATTAAACTTAAATAGCCACATGTCGCGAATGGCTACAATATGACTAATGTGGATATAGAGTATTCTATAATTTGGGAATTTCTCAGGGTTAGCTCTAATCACTTTTATTTTAGAAAGCTAAATGTTTTATTTATGTGAGTAAAACTGAAAATGCACTACTAAGCATTGTCACTAGGTAATGTATATACACATTGCTTGTGATTTAGCTTCACTTACAGAATTTGTGAAGGAGTAATTGAATACCTAGTATGTGGTTTGGTCTCTATCTCGTAGTCACAGTGTTCTGAGAGACACATACAGTTCTGAAGAATGTTTTGAAGTCCGAAGCAACTGATTGTCACTAGATCTGATATTCCAAAGGCTTTAGAGTTCATGTGGAAAATCTGGAAAGAAAAATAATTATTGTTAATATTTATTTTGGATTAGCTTGGGACTTTTAGGGGGAAAAGAATTGGCAGACTTGAAGGTCTGTGTTTAGTCATGATTTTAGCTTTTTTTAGATTAGTTCTTTTGATATTTATTTATTTTAGAGATTTTTGCTATAGGCACATGCACTCTCTGGAGGGACAGAGACAGAAAGACAGTAAGAAATCACCCTCCAGAGAGATGGCCACATCACAATACCTTCTCCTCTGCTCTCCTCTCAGGATTTTGGGCATGCACGCACATGGGCCCAAGCGTGAGTTCGAAGCCGCAGGGTCCACAGATTGCACCGTGGTCAGCTCTGTGGGAATCCAGCACTTTAACCCCTGTGCCACCTGCTGGCCCTCATATGTAATAATTTTAAAACAACTTAGAAGATAGAAATTGGTTTTTGATAAATTTTAAGCAAAATATCTTCCATAAAGAAATTTTTAAGTGACTTAAATTCAGAATTTCCCTGCTAATTAGAATGTTGCAGCATAGCTAATCAGATGGACTTATACATATCTATATTCCTATAACTTACTTAGGATGCCACAGATTGTCATAGTCTATTAAGACAAATGAGCAAAACATTAACACCTTTATCAACATTAAGAAATAGCATATGATCTGAGATTCACTGTTATATTTCAGTATACTCAGGTCAGATTAGAGATTTGCTTTTGTTGAGACAAATGGGTCTTTGCCTTTTGAAGCGTCACAGTGGATCAGGCTGTTGGAGTGGCCTTGGGGAGGGAGTGTCTCACTGCTTCTTGGCCAGCATTGCTGGGAGTACCATCCAGCTCCACCAGGGGGCGTTTCTGGGGAGAGGGAGCTCTTCAGGTAACTTCAAATGTCAGTGGGTCATGGTGGGCCTTCCTGGTCAGTTTATGACCTGGCTAAGCAGCCAGGGAGGGCACCAGGCCCTAGATGCTGAGGGCAACTGGAACTTGTTAACTGCTGTGCAGCTTGCAGTATTAAGGTCTTGACTGTCTCTCTGTTTGTGTTTTAATAGCTCAGGCTTCACAGCTGACAGGCATAGGAAAAGAAAACTTCTGGAAAACTCATCATTAAACAGCAAGTTATTAAAAGTAAATGTAAGTAATTAAAATGTATTTAAATATAAGAGTGAGTTGACATCTATCACTGTTTTAATTCTTAACTTTTAATATTGTCTGTTTAAAACTTTGATACATACATACGTTGGATTTAGGGTACTTTACAGAATGTGTGCCACTTCAACTAGTGATTCTTGATGTGACCCCAGCGAGTCTCTCTGTTACCACCTTCCACCAGAATAACCGTGCTCCTCTCCCTTCTTAATCCCTACTCAGGGACCTTATTCCATTTCCATGGAATCCCAAAGATCCTTGGTTCCTTCTGGTAAAAGTCCAGAGAGCAGACTCTATGAGTCTGACTTTTTGTAAGTTTTATTTCTTAGGACTTCATTAATATAATTTCTCTGTTAAAGAATATGCTTCCTCCAAGTCAGGCTATGAAAGAGACATTGTATGTCTCCACTTAACATATACTGACGGTTCGCACTCTGTGGTAGAGACTGAAGACTGGGGGACATGAAAGCATTGAAAATTGTTATGGACACTAGAGACAAAGTGGAAGGAGCATGTGGGAGGAGAAGAGCGTAGGAATAGAAATTAGGGGGGGAAATGGAGAGAGAAGATGTTTGTGGAACACAGACACAGTTAATGAGGATGTGTATGGTATTCTCAACTGGACAGAGATGTGTATCATGCTGGGTAGTCTCTTTACAATTTAAATGATGTATAGCGATTGAATGTATTAATAATAATAAAGAGAAAAAAGAGAAAAAATAAGAAAAAAAAATGCTTCCTCATTCTAGTAACCATCTGTTACAATGGTGAACTGTCAATTGATAAAGAAAATTTAAAGATTACCAGTTATCTCTAAAGTGAACCAGTATTTTTGTCCTGAATTTACCCCTCTGCTGTGATGCTAGTTGTATTTGGACATGCTCTTAATAATTAAATTAGTGTTCAGATTTTGTGGAAGATATATAGCTGAACTGTTCTCGTAGCTATCAGGGCAGAGATCTTTGGACTGGATTGGTAGATTGACCTCATGGGTATAGTACTTAGATGTCATGGTGCTTTTGTAGAGCGAATCAAAAAGTCAGACCTTGTCTTCAGAGAAGTTCAGGGCACTGTGTAGGTTCCCGCTACTAGTTCCCAAAACTTGGCTTGGCTATTTATGTGTGGTTTAGAGTTCAGTTTGGGGACAGAAATACTGGGGGCGTGTATATATATACATACATATATATATATACATATATATATATATATCCATTAAATTTAATAGAGTGTTATAATGTCATTAAATCCTCTTTTAAGGATTTTAGTTTTTTTGCAACATGTACTCCATTGTAGTCATTGATGCTGATTTTCTCATAAGCTTTCACTAGAATACTCCCATTTAGAACAATCTCAGAATCAGGCAGTTTCCTAAAAATATCTAATCACTTACACAGAGGCTACAAAGAGTTTGTTTGAAATTTTCACTGGACCAAAAAGGACTAATTTCAGATTAGCTTGCTGCTAGAATTAAAAATAGAGGCCTTTGCTTATCCTAGATATTCAAGAGAGCTGGTCTGCTCTTATCATTGCTGATGGCTCCTTTTTCTCCCATTGTACAGGGAAGCACCACTGCCATTTGTGCCACAGGCCTTCGGAATTTGGGGAACACGTGTTTCATGAATGCAATCCTTCAGTCACTCAGGTAGTGTTACAATCAGAGCTGACGTGCCTGTCACTAAAGGTTAAAAGAGCGCAGGCTCTGGCTTCAGATCTCGTCTCTGCCACTAACTCTAGTTATGTGGCCTGGGGAAGATTTCCTCCATTTTCTGTGCTGTTTCCTCAGTGGTAGAAGTGGGGATAATAGTTCCTACCTCATAGGATAGTTGAGAAGATTAGATAACATAATTTGTCCAAAGTGCTCAGAGCAGTGCCTGGCAATAAATTAGCTGTTCACTGGTATTATTTATTTCTCATTGTTTTTTGCATAGGCTTAAGTAGTGGTCAGCAAACTTCCTCTGTGAAAACCAGATAGTAAATATTTTAGGTTTTTTTTGGCCATGTACCTTCTCTCTCACTCCCCACCCCCAATCCACTTTGTTAAAAAACAAAAACCTTTAAAATTGTAACAACCCAACCCAGCCTCTGTAGTGTAGCATACCAGACAATGGAGCTGGAAGCCACATGCCGACTCTGGTTCCAGTCCCCATCCTGGTCAGCCTGAAACATGCTGGATGCCTGTGCACATGCCCAGGATCCTGGTAAGCTGGATACAGGAGGAAGGGGATTGTGACCTAGCCAGGCCCTGTGGAGGGTGCCTGTCTCTCTCTATGTGCAGGCACACAAAGGCTCTGTCATAAATAATAACAAACATGTGAACACTCCCAGGCTGAGGGCTCCAGAGAACCCTGTTCTGAGAGCTTGGTTCAGCCATTAGTTGAGACTTAAGCATGGTCATAAGGTCAGATGTTCAAAAGATCTTCAGAATCTAAGATCAGTAGTAAAAATAAAATGGCCAACAAGCCTGACCTAAAGTATATAGAAGAAAGTTGTATACTTTCAGACTTCTTAGTGATAGTGAACGTGTATGTGAGAGAGAGAAAAGCAGCTCCCCTAACAGGGTCTCATGCACTGCGATCCTCCCTCCCTAGCCTTCTAGCTCCTCTGATCTTGGGTTCCCACATGCACCCAGTACATTTTTGGGTGACCCAGGGGTCCGAACCAGCTATTGGCCGTGTATTTTCCAGTACTGTAGTCCATTCTGCAACAGACCTAGGCTGGGCTTACTTTATTTATTCTTTTTTTAAATATACTATAGGGCTGTGTGTTCACAGAGGTGGGGAGAGTAAGCCTGAGAGAGCAGCACCCAGGGCTACGGCCATGCTGTGATCCATTCCTCCTCTATTCTCCTGCTGGGATTCTGGGCGTGCATGCACACACGCCCAGCACGTTCCCCAAGGCCGAGTTCCAGGCTGGGTCTATCCTTTCGGCCATGTGGGATCCAGCCTTAACCACATCATCTGCTGGTCCCCTACTTTTAGATTCTAATGAGGCATCAAAAGCCAAAATAAATGCTCTTCCCTAAGTCACATTGCTAATAAACAGAAGCCACATTTGATCGTGCCTTAAGGATACTACCTCTCAGCATAGCTCTGCTTGCTCATAGAAGAAATTTTAGTTGCTACTAAATTCTTACGATTCCGTGTAGTGTGTCTAAATAATATGGTTAGTTTCATCATTTGTCTTTATTCAAGGAAATTATTGCACACTTGGGATTACAAGTACCCAGAAAAGAAAGCAGTGGTGACAAACTATAGATGAAGGACAATTGCAGATTTTTTGAACAGAGATTTTAAGCTCTTTCTTCATTTCTACAAAGCCATATGTCTGTACTGATACTTAGAGTGAATGAAAGCCATAATGAAGAAACTCAGGGCAAGAGATTGCATTGAGTACAACTTCCATGAAACCGTTGAAAGACTGAGCCCTCATAGAGGTTTCATAAAACTTTTACAGTTCCATTCCATTCTCTCTCTCTCTTTTTTTAAAATTATTTTCTTCCTTCCCTTTAAAATAGTAACATTGAGCAGTTTTGCTGTTACTTCAAAGAACTGCCCGCCGTGGAGCTAAGAAACGGGAAAACAGCAGGAAGGCGGACGTACCACACCAGGAGCCAAGGGGATAGCAGCGTGTGAGTTACAGACTCTGTCCTTTCTGGCCTCTAGTTTCAAAACAAATGACTTTCACTGGTGATTCCCATTGTATTATGTGAGTTAATAGGCATGACATTTTTTAAAACTTCAAAAAATTGTGTTTAAGTAGTTGGTTGGCAGTGTTAATAATCATTGGAGTTCTTTTATTTCTATTTACTAGGCAGGATAAGAACATTCACTTAGCGTTTGCAGGTTTGGTATTCTAGAATTGACATCAATATATGAAAAGCAGTTCTGGGCATAGACCGGCATGAGTATCATTAGTCCATGTGAACTGGTTTGTCTGACAGTCTAGGTACACTGTTTTATATAATACAGTTAATTTGTAGTCAGAACATTGTGGGGTGATGCAGTCAATTTTTAGTTGATATGGAAAGGGGAAAAAATGGGCAAGTGATGATCAAGGACCACCCCTATATTCAAATTAAGTGCAGTGCTGCCTTACTTGGGGTTTAGAAACCACCGGATCATACGGGACACAGTTTTCCTTGTTGTTGTTGTTGTCATTATTAACTTGCTGTAGAGTGCGTGTGTTTGCTGGAGAGAGGCAGAGAGAGAAGAGAAAACGGGAAAGCACCCCTCGGGGAGTGGCCATGCCACAGTCCCTTCTCCCCGATTCACCTTTTTGTTTTTTGTTTTTTGTTTGGAGAGATTTTCACTGTAGGGCGTGTGCGCTCGCCAGACAGACAGAGAGAGACATAGAGACAGAAAGCGAGAAATCACCCCCCCAGGGGGATGGTCACGCCGCAGTCCCTTCTCCTCCATTCTCCTCTCGGGATCTTGGGCACGCACGCACACGCGCCCGGTGTGAGTTTTAAGCCACCGGGTCCGGGACACGAACCACGGTCAACTACGTGGGAGTCCAGCGACATAGCCATTACGCTAACTGCTGGTTCCCACCTTTTTGATTTTTGAGTTCCCCACAGTATGAGGTAACTTGGAAGTCACACATTGGAGCAGGGATGGAATGACATTACTACAGGTGGCATTCGAAGGGAGTTTCGTTTGGTAGCATTTTGGACAAGCTGGAAAGTGCCCGTATTCAAGGAGGCTTCCCCCTGTATAGTAATCAGATTGGAGGGGATGACTGGAAAAAGCACATTTGGAAGTTAAGGGGAGAATTAGTAGTACTTGATGCATCCGTGTATTTAGGGTTTAGTTACAGATTGCAGAAATTGCCTATGGCTGATTTAGGCAGAAAAGGAGGCATCGAAGGGCTGCTCATGAGCTCCCCATTATTGGGTGGATGGCAGGTCAGGCCTGGAGGCCAGGCAGCCAGCATCACAGCCAGAGCCCGCCCGCAGGACTGTCCTGTGTGGACACCGCCACCCCCGCTGCCAGCGCAAAGCCCGGGCTGCTGCTGCCCGTGCTCTTGGGGTGGTGCTTGTGAATGCTGCTGTGCCTTCTGCCCCTGGACTCAGGGTGATGCTCTTGCCCCACTGCCACCAGAGAGGTTAGTGCTGTCCCTGTGTCACCAACTGCTGTTCCACCCAGGCTGAACCCAGGCCATGAACCTGTGCTCTGCTTGCAAGGGAGCTGAGAAAGCAAGTACCTGGCCTCTTCAGCCTTGTGGTGGAAAACAGGCTCTGACTCCCACCAACTCTTAAGATGAGCAATTCTTCAGTCATAGGAAGAGGGTTCAGGTACTAACTAGGAAGTAAGAAATACCATTCCAGGGTCTTCCTGGATAGCAGGCATTGAGAAAGAAGATGCTGGGATTCTCTGTGATAGCAGTCAGGCACACATCCAGGAGCGTGGTGGTTAGGTTGACAGAGAAATTCAATCTACATGTGCAGAAAACCAAAATTAGTCGTGACTTAAACATCTGTGATTGATTTTCCTGTGTGACAGTCAGCTTACCCAAGGCTCACAGAGTTATTAAGCTCTTTCTGTTAGACTGTTGGGATAGTCATGACATTTTTCTATTAAAAAATGTGTCACAACTTCCTGACAACCTAGTTTTCTGTTCCACCAGCCCTAGGGTGGGGCTCCTGTCTGCGGAGTCCAAGGTAGTGCTGGGGTTCTGTGTTAGTCCTCTCCAGCCGCCAGGAAGAAGGAAGGGCTTAGTAAGAAAGATGACTGTCTCTTTAAGAAAATTTCCCAGAAGGTGGGCACACAGTTTTTTATTCCAGAAGTTTGTTTATTCAGCCAAAAAATAAAATATGAAAGTTCTGTTTTGGTGGGAGGAGGGAACTAGGTACTGGGGGGGCAGTGGGGGGTTGCAGGGTGATGCACGGTGTGTGTGAGTGGTAAGAGAGGCTGCGCTGGTCACTTCCTGCAGACACTGGGGACATGACCTGTTGGAAACTACAGAACCTGAAGGAATGCGAATGGTCATGAGAAAACGTGACTTTAGGCACGGGTTTGAGAGTCACTGGTGTAGAGATGTGTGTAAAGCTCTGCAGCGGCAGGAACTCTCCGAGGCGGAGAAGAGCAGGTGGTCACCGGCCAGAGGCTGGGAAGTGGCTCCTCGTGAGAGGCAGGAAGGAAAAACGCACGAGGTGGAGAAAAAGCCGGTTGGTTGTTCTAAGTTTTCAGGTGCAGAGTCTTAGGTAATTTGGCTTATAGCTCCTTTATCATTTTTGTGTTTTTTTGTTGTTTTTTTTTAACCCAAAGTTTACAAATACAGCAGTACTTTGGTGTAGTCAGAGTTAACTGGATGGTTAAAAAATCTCGTTTTAGTGCTCTTTCTACAGGTTTCTGAGATGTTGCTTAGCTGCTAGACTTAGTCTAGAAAAGGCCAACCCCTTTGTAAGCTTTCATTTTTTACTTACCGTTGATTTCAGACCACTGAACACCATGCACTGTGCAGCCACTCACTAACGCCGAGGGTATCGCCCCTTCTTCTTTTCCAGGTCTTTGGTAGAAGAGTTTAGAAAGACCCTTTGTGCCTTATGGCAAGGCAGCCAGACGGCATTTAGCCCAGAGTCCTTATTTTATGTTGTTTGGAAGATTATGCCTAATTTTAGGTAAGTATTATTTTAAAAATGATATTTAAAAGCATTAATGTTAGTCTTCACACTTGCTGAAATACTTTCTGATGAAGTGGTTATTTTCTAAGTAATCAAGATGGGTGTGTTTATCTGCTTTAGAAGAAACGGTGAATTCATTTGACTAAACAGAGGTGTCTATATAAGTAATAGACATTAGACATAGCTTTGACAAAGGGTAGGGTATCTTGTTACAAAAACAGAGTCCTGATAAATAAGTCACATATGCTAGGAAAACATACTGGACCAAATTTCCTCGATTTTTTAACACTCTTAGGAAGGGTAATTACTGTGATACACTGCCTTATTAGTCCAACTTAAAACAAATCCATATATAATCAAAAGAAAGCCACGGTATTATATTCACTGTCTTGGTCTGGGTTCTGCAGCCCTTAGACTGGTCAGGCCCATTAGGGTCAGTCACTCCGAATACCATACCACACTGCTGTAGCCGGGGAGTGACTGTTACTCGTACTTTCTCTCTCGCCTCGCTGGAGTAATCAGTGCCTTGTGCTCTCAGGGGGTCCTGCTGCTTCTCCTCTGCTTGTCATCCCTCTGTGGAGGTTTAGGGAGCAGTGTGTTTGGGGTACTGCAGGGGTTGGGCATTAGCTTTTGCCACTGTCTGCTGATTTTATCCTTCTCAAAGCAAGCCAGGATTATGGCACCTAATGCATCCCTCTCTCCTTTTTGAAATACAGCATGCTGGGGCCAACCAGGTGGAATGGTGGGTAAGGCAGCTGGCTCCTATATGACTGACCGCCCAGTTAGTCACAAGACTCGGTGGCTTGAAAAACATGCCACGTGTGTGCATGCCCAAAATCCTGAGAGGAGCATGGAGGAGAAGGGATTTCTGCATGGCCATCCTTTCTGAGAGTGCTTTCTCACTTTCTGTCTCCCTCCGGCCAGTGCACACATCTTACAGCAAACTAAACAGACAGACAAACAAACAGTACACTGTAATAAAACATAGATCTGTACCTGTAGTCCCTGCAAGTCAGTAGGCCCAGGCAAGAAGAGAGTTGGAGCTCACCTTAGCAAAGCATTCTGTGTCTAGAAGAACCAAGAAAGATAACAAAGTAAAAACCTAGCACTGTATCTACTTCCTAGTAGATACATTGTTAGTGTAGAAAAATGTTTAAAATCAACTTCAAAGAATGTCATTCCTTAAGTTACTGAAAAAGTCTTGCCTGCAGGACAAATGCCTGTTGTTAACCCTGGTCTTTGTTTTGAGGAAACTTCTTTTATGTATTTTGCTGTTTCAGTCTCCTCTTAGGAGACACTAACCTTGCAAAAATTTTAGAGTTTCTTGACTCTTAATATGAAAGGTAGAACTGACTATTAAATTCTACTAGTCAGATTTCTACTTCTCGTAAAATTTCTAACATGATCACCTAGTTGTACTCTTTCTTTTTTTTTAAGAATTATTATTTTTATCAACTTGTTTATTTGAATTTGACCAGAGAGGAACAGAGTGAGAAAAAGTGAGAGAGAAGGAGGGAGGCAGGGAATGTGAGAAAGGAAGCCACCAGATCCAGGACTTGAATTGTGTTCAGCCATGTGGGAGTCCAGTGCTCTTAACCACTGTACCACCTGCCAGCCCCACCCAGTTATACTCTTTTTTTTTTTTTTTTTTTTGA